ACTATAATTGAAGCTTACAAGTTCAGAAGCATGATGGAAAAGGCATTGAAGCACAGTTGGAAGGTGGGGTAGGAAGGGAAGGATGAAAGGGAAGGACCCTGGAGGCCCATGGTCAAGAACATGACAAGAGTCAAAGTCTTGACTCAACATCCTCATGTTCAGCCAGCCTGGCAAGAGAAAATTCACACTATGCCAGGTTTAGACTCCAAACCCCAAATGCTGCAGCTGCAAGGTGGGGACAAAAGTCCCACACATGCTGGTCCCTCCTCGTTATAGGGCTTTCCAGCTTTGGTATAGCAGCTGACAAGGACTTCCAATGAGTTGTAACAAACCCATCAAACATTTCTTCGAAACTTCTTCATATGTGCTCCGATTCCAACAATTCTTGGCTCGTTGGAATGTGCTCGATGTCATGCACAATCCAAGCACAACTGCACAAGCACAAAATGAACATGCAAAGACATGCAAACCCAACAAACCATTCAAGCAATGTTGCATACAAAACACATGCAACGAAATGATGCGAACAGACAACAGGATGACGTGCAAACGAATATGCACCAACACACTCCCCCTCAGACTGTCGGCTTGTTTCACCGTCTCCAGTTCAAGGACATTCCTTGTTGAAATGATTGATTAGGTAAGGAGCCCAAGGCTCTATAAGTACATGGCAAGGTAAGAGTGAATGGATGAAGGGGGAATTGGAGGGAATCCCCATTGGGATCTCTGGAATCTCCAATTGGGTAATTGGAGATTGGGGGGATCACAAATGGGTGAGGTTGGGATTTGTGAGTACACCCTAACCCACTAGAACATTCATATCCTAAACTAGGATATAAAAGTACAAATACAAAAGTGGTATTCGCAGTTTATTTCTAACACACCCCCATAGACTGCAAACCCGGTCAAGGAGCACATAGCCCCATGGAACGGAGAAGGCGATGGTGGTCAGCCTTGCCGAGAGCCTTGGTAAAGAGGTCGGTGAGGTTGCAATCTGAGGCGATGTACCGTACCGTCAGCTGGTCACTCTGAACAAGATCTCGGATGAAGAAATGACAAAGTTCGATGTGCTTGGTGCGAGAGTGGAACACAGGATCCTTGGTGAGGTGAATGGCACTCTGGTTGTCACACCACAGGGTGGGCGACTGCTGGGGATAGCCTAACTTAGCAAGGAGAAAGGAGAGCCAGCGTGCCTCTTGAGCAGCCATTGTGCCCGCGTAGAGCTCGGCCTCGCATGACGACAGGGAGACTGCAGAGGACCGAGTGGAGCGCCAGCTGATAACTCCGCTACCAAGGGTGAAGCAGTACCCTTGGGAGGAGCGTCTGTCAGTCTGGTCATCGGCCCATGAGGAGTCTGTGTATCCCTCGAGCTTGACTGGAGAGGTACCACCAAGAGTGAGGATGTGAGACTTGGTGGCTTGTAGATAGCAGAGGACCCTCTTGGCTGCAGACCAATACGAGGCAGTGTAGCGTCCAGGGGAGACGTACCGAGAGAGGACACTAACCGGGTAAGCCAAGTCTGGTCGAGTGCACATCATGGCATAGATGACTGAACCGACTAGCTCAGGGTACGGGTCCTTGCAGGCGTCAGGAGAAGGAACTGGAGGGGCCGTGAGCTGATGCTGTAGTGGGAGTGGAGTGGAGACAGAGTTACTGGAGTCCATGTCGAACCGCTTGAGAAGGTTGTCGATGTAAGACTCCTGGGAGAGGGTGATCGTGCAAGCCTGGCGGTCACGAGTGATCTCCATCCCCAGGTAGTTCTTGAGGTCACCAAGATCCTTCATGAGAAGGGCGGAGCTGAGAGCAGACTGGACAGCTGCCATGTCGGCTGGATCTCTGGCGGCTAGAATGAAGTTCTCGACGTAGACGAGGATGTAGAAGGGCTCGGAGGAGTGACGAACGAAGAGACTGGAATCTGAGGCAGAGGGATGGAAGTCAAGTGCGAGGAGGACTTCCTTCACCTTGTTGTGCCACTCACGAGGAGCCTGCTTGAGGCCATACACTAGGCGCTTCAGCTTCCACACTGTATTGGCAGGGTACGTGCCAGGAAACCCCGGTGGGCGTTCCATGTGAACATCCATCTTGACCTGGCCTTGGAGAAAGGCAGAGGAGGCGTCCATGGACTTGATCTCGAAGTTGCCGCGAGCGGCTATATCAAGAAGAGCGCGCACAGTCGGGAGCTTGGCCGTGGGTGAGAATGTTTCGAAGAAGTCGAGATACTCCTTCTGGGTGAAACCCTTCGCCACGTATCATGCCTTGAACAGTGGAGCTTTGCCTGGGAGTTGTTTGACTCGGAAGATCCATTTTCCGCCGACGATGTTGACACCGGAAGGGGGAACAACATCGTCAAAGCTGTTGTTGCGAATGAACGCCTCGTTCTCCACATCCATTGCTGCCTTCCACTCCTTCTTATAAGGCCCCGAGAGAGCTTCCTCTTTTGTGCGAGGAGTCGGAATGGTCGGGTTCTCGGTGAAGTTGAGGGAAGGGCAGTCAGTAATGTCCGGGAAGTTGTGAGAGAGAAATTGGCAGACCGCGTGAAGGTCAAGCAGCTCCTCATGCCTGTCTTCCAGAAGTGCACGGGGGGGAATACGGATGGAGGGGACATCACCCCCGGCAGGAGGAGGCGGGGTGACCGAACACCGGATGGAGAAGGCGGCTGGTCCCCAGGCGAGAGGCGGAGCCGGTCCCTTGGAACGAGTGCGACTAGAGACCGGAGACGAAGGCGGCTGCGGTGAGACCGGAGGGACTGGGCGCCTCCGATAGGAGACTGGTGAGCCGGGCTCGACGCGCGGGAAACGCGGAGCAGGAGGAGGTGCCGCTGCGGAGGATACTGGGGAGGCCGGGTGAGACACGCCAGACGGAGAAGGCCCCGGAGAAGGGGCAGCGGCCGGAGGTGGGGCATCAAAGTCTGCCCAAACAAGCGTCGGGGGAGGTGGAGGAGGCTCGCCCGTGGTCGCAGAGTGGAATGGGCGTGTCTCATCGAAGACGACATCACGGCTGCGAATCAGCTGTCTGGGTTTTGGGACCAAGCTTGCCACCTTGCTTCCTGCGCGTGTGGGGGCTTAGCAACACATACGCGGTACACCCCCAGACGCGTAGAGAGCGGGCGGAAGGCGTGACCCCAAGCCAGAGAGCGGTAGGTGTGGTGTCGGGCCGGTGGGGATGCGGATAAAGATTGTAGAGGAGTGCCGCATGGAAGAGGGCATATCCCCAGAGTGACCGTGGTGCGTTGGCGTGACTGAGGAGGCAGCGAGCGATCTGAACCAAGGTGTGGTTGCGGCTCTCTGCAATGCCATTCTGCTGCGGGCTTTCGGGGAGCGTGAAGGTTTGCCGAATCCCTTGGGCCGCACAGAAGTTATCGAGTTTGCCATTGCGAAATTCTCCCCTGCCATCAGAATGGAGGCACTTCAAAGGAGTGCCGAACGTGACTTGAGCCTGGCGCACCCACGCCATAATGACATCAGGTGCCTCCGCTTTGGTTATGCAGGAGGTGCACAGAAACGTACCGCGAGTGGTCATCGACTAGTGTAAGAACGTACCGATGACCGCCTCGGGATGCGACTGGAGCTGGGCCCCAGACATCCATGTGCACTAGGTCCAGCGGAGCAGCTGCGACGGATGGGGAGGAAGGGTGCGGCTGCTGCCTGAGCTTGCTCTTGGTGCAGTCCAGGCAGGTGGGTGCAGGTGAGTCTGTTGGTGGAGGAAGCGCCGACGGGAGGCCAAGAAGAAGTTTCTTGGAAGCGATGTCGGCAAGTGTACGGAAGTTGGGGTGACCCAAGCGATGGTGGTAGAGGATGGTTGGGTTGGGGAAGCTGCGACACGAACACGGAGTGCTGCTGGCAGCTTGCGCTTGGGAGAGGGCGACGAGAGGTGCAGGTGAACGCAGCGTGTAGAGCTTGCTACTGTTGAGTGTGAAGCATACTAGGAGCTTGTTGGTGTTAGGATCGAAGAGGTCACAGTGATCCGAGTGTGCTGGGAAGATCGTGGTGACGCCTGCCCATTGGAGCTTGTACTGGGCCACAAGATTGTGGCGTAGTGTGGGAACACACAAGCCAGTCACACTGGCCGAAGTAAAAGCTGGGCGTGTGTTGTGAAACTGGAGTCTGCTCCAAGTAGACGGATTGGTGTCTCGTATGGCTTGAAGGAGTGTTCTTCCTTGAGAACCGTGTGAGTGGCCCCACTGTCGAGGGTGAACTCTATTGTGGCTGAGGTGCTTTGTGAGCCAGGATACTGCGAAATCGTCTCATTAATCATGGCTGTTAGAATATACCATGCTATGCTAGTTGTGTATATTGTGTTTACATCCCTAGTTGGGTGTACACCTGTGTTGGGGTGTCAATCCAACCCAATTGTGGTTGGAGCCCCCAAACACAAGGACCACAATTGTGGGGGCACCACAAGTGGGTTGGCTAAACCACTGGTGGTACACCACACTTGGACCACCTCCAACTGGTGGTCAACCACATTTGGAAGGATCCTCCCTCCCTTGTGATTGGTCCTAACCCCCCCTTCCCTTCCAACCTTCCCTTCCTAGCTCATCTCTCTCTTCCTATGTAATGCCTTTGCTTCATCAATAAACTCAACCTTTCTCTTTCTAACATGGTATAGAGCAATAATGGCTGACGCCAACTTTGAAATCCCGATCCTTCCCCACGCTTCCGCCCCGTCCCCTTCCGACGTGCACCTCATTTGCCGTCCCCTCCATCGCCGCTGCTAGACTCCTAGCCGCCGCCTCTCAACTAGTTTTCTGTTGGGTGGATTTTCAAAAACCCCCAATGCGCCAAACGCCATAGCTCGCTCGATAGTTGACAGAATTGAGTAATTCGACTTGCAAAAGAACGCTCTTGGTGTCAGCTACAATGTCGTAAAATTTCGGACTGTTTCATCGCTTGGATTGTCAGATATCGCTTTCCAAAGTTTGCACACTTTCCTGGATGTGATCACGAAGTGCTACTGAAATTTCTACCAAGTCCTATTTTCATCAGCTAACTGCCATCTTTCCCCATCTTTTGCCTCCTCACCTGCACCTGCTCATCGCCGCCTTACCACTGCTGCAGCAGCAGCAGCAACAGCGGCAGCAGCAGCAGTGGCAGCAGCAGCAGCGGCAGCAGCAGCAGCAGTGGCAGCAGCAGCAGCGGCAGCAGCAGCAACAGCTACAACAGCAGCAGCAGCAGCAGAAGGAGCAGCAGCAGCAGCAGCAGCAGCAGCAGCAGCAGTATCTACAGACATCCCCATCCTCCCCTCCTCTTTGAGCCGCCGCGGGTCCACCCGCCGCCGCTCCCTCCCGGCCACCGCGGGTCCACCCGCCGTCGCCTTCCTCCCACTCCGTGTCACCAATGGCATCCTTTTCCCCTCCCGTCGACGTCTCGACCCTCGATCATCTCGTGCGCGCTGCCGACAACTCAGCAACCAACTGGTATTCCTTCGTCGGCAGCCTCCACCGCGTCCTCGGCAGTGCTTATGTCCTGCCATTCCGCCTCCTGGACATCATGCTTGGTCTCCCAGAGGGTGACCTTGGGGACCCGCCGCCTCACCCTGGCAATCCCCCCCCTCTCATTCCCCATCCCGGCGAGGAACCTCTGCCCCCCATGGTACCCGTTGGCACCAGCACTCGCGCTGCCACCGCTGAAGTTGAGCAGCTCTTCCTTACTCAGCGTCGTGAGTTCCTCGTGCTCCATACTGATTACCTGATCGCGTTGGAGGAACACGAGCGGTCGGCAACCCTCCGCACCCAGCATGCCGCTACCGCCGCCGCTTATGCCGCTGACTCTGCGCGATTTGCTGAGCGTCGTCGCGCCTGGCTCGAGGCGGACAGCCGTGCTACTGGTGCCCTTCTCCTTGCCATCCCGTCTGCGCTCATGCGCAACTTCCAGGCACATCGCATCGGCTCCCGCCAGATCTGGCTCGAGCTTGAGGCAATGTTCGAACGCACCGACTTCGATGCTGTCGGACCGCTCTTCAAGGAATACTTCAGCATCACGATCGAACATAGTGCTGGCGCCGTTGACTACACCAGCCGTCTCCTGGACCTTGCCTCCCGCCTTGAGGCTCGCCAGACTACTCTCCCCCCCAACCTTCAGATCTACCGTCTCCTCGAAGGCCTCTCCCCTCAATATGAAGTGCGCATCATCGCCTTCACTGAGGCTCAGCCCCGCGCCTCCCTTGACACTGTGGTCCAATGGATCATTGACGCTGAGGCCCGCCTTCTCTCAACCCCCCCCTCCGGCCTGAACTCCACCGAGTCCCAAAACCCCCAGCTTGCAGTCACACTGCCGCGTCATGGCGGGCGCCCACGTGGCGGCCGCACCAACCCTCAGGGAGGGGGTGGAGGTGGCGGTTGTGGGGGTAGCGGAGCCGGCGGTGGTGGTGGCGGGGTCGAGGGTGGCAGCAGTGGTGGTGGTGGAGGCAGTGGTGGCTCATCTGGTAGCCGTGGTGGCCGCCCTGGCACTCTCCCCCCATGTTCCTATCTTCGCCGTTTTGGTCCCAGGGCGGGTGAGCGCTGCACCCAAACCAACCATCCCCCCGCGACCTGCTTCAAGGCGTATGATGACGCCTGGTTCGAGCGCGGCAACACTGGCACACCCCCACGCTGGTCTGCCATGGATCCCCGCCCCTCTCTCCAGGATGTCAAAACTCTTCCGTCTTTCCTCCCCTCTCATCTTCAGCTCTCCTCCTCCTCCTCCTCTGTCGCTGACCCCATAACTCCCCAGGAGTTGCACCAGTTTCGCCGCTTCCAGCAGCTGCAGCTGCTGCAGCAGCAGCAGCAGTGGGGCTCTGGTGGTCAGGCTGCAGCCGCAGCTGCAGGAGCCGCAGCCGCAGCATCTGCATGGCAGCAGCAGCAGCTTGGCTTTGGCACCGCCGCCATGGCTGCCACAGCCACACCAGGTCCTCCTGGCTTTCCCCTCTGGGGCTCTCCTTCCCCTAGTGCTCCCGCCTCCCACTCCAGCTTTCTAGGCGAGCTCATGCGTTCTTCCCCTACTTCCACTTCCATGTATCCCTCTGTTTTTAATGCCAGTGATTTCCAGTACCCCGTGTCTTCAGCTCCCTCCTCGCTCACGATTGACTTTGTTCTCGATAGTGGTGCCACTGAAACTGCCCTCAAAGACGCCGGCACCCTCACCTCCCTCCCTTTCCCCACCAACGTTCATGGTGCTGATTCCAGCTTCTCCATCCCTTGCACTCATCTCTCCACCCTCCCCTGCCCCCCCTTCCCCTCTGGAGTGGTCACTGGTCTCCACATTCCCTCCCTTCGTCATAACCTGCTCTCCATTTGTGAACTCCAACAGGCTGGCATCACTACCCTCTTCCCCGCCTCTGCCACCTACTGTGACCTCCTCCACGGCCCCACTCGCCGCCTCCTTCATCGCCTCCCACTTTGCCCTCGCTCTCGTCAGTACATCCTCCGCACACCCCGCCCCTCCTCATGCCACGTGACCACTCGTGCAGGCACCTCCACTCTCCCCCCTCCCCTCCCTCTAGAGCCACCTTCCTCCAACTCCACCTCCTCCCCATGCTCTTGTCGCGCACTGTCCCACCCCGCTGTTCTCATCCACCACCGCCTTGGTCATATGAACTTTCCCACACTTCGTAAAGCCGTCTCCTCCCGCTTGCTTGACGGTCTTCCCCCCACTCTTCCTCCCCTCCCGTCCTCTTCCGCTCCCCCATGCGCCACATGCATTCATGGAAAGCTCAAACAACAGCCTCACCTCAGTCATCCTTCCTTTGCTGCTGCCCCCCTTGACCTCGTCCACATGGACCTCTGGGGCCCTAACCCTTCCCCTTCCCGCCAAGGGCACCGGTACCTGCTTGTCCTAGTCGACGACCACAGCAGGTACTCCTCGGTGTTCCTCCTCCACACGAAGGCCGAGGCCCCTGCTGTCATCGTTACCTGGGCCGAGCAGTGCCGAGTCCACTTTGGTCGCCCCATCCGCCGCCTCCATTCCGACGGCGGTGGTGAGTTTCTCAACCGCACCCTCTCCTCCTACTGCTCAACCCATGGCATCCAGCAGACTCATACCCTTCCCCACTCCCCTCAGCAGAACGGTGTTGCTGAGAGTCGCATTCGTGAGATCACCAAGACGGCCCGCTGCCTCCTCACTCATGCCTCCACGCCCCCTTCTCTTTGGGGCTATGCCCTTGTCCATGCTGCTCTCCTTACTAATCTTTACCCACATCCTCAACGCCAGTCTGTCACTCCCACTGAGCTCTGGGCTAGCACCAAGCCAGATGCTGCCATTCTCCGTATCTGGGGTTGCAAGGCATATGTCCTCATCCCCCCACCTGACCGCTCTCGGCAGGCAGGAAAGCTCGCCTCCAAGGCCATTGAGTGTGTCTACCTTGGCCACGCTCGCTCTGCCCCTGGTTACCTCTTCCTTCACCCGTCCTCAGGCCGCCTCCTACAGAGCCGTGACGTGGTGTTCGATGAGAGCATCCCGTTCTATCATTCTGTTCCGCCTTCCGACCCCCTTCCTCCTCTCTCCCGCCCCCTCACCTGGGCTGATGCTGTCATTCCCCCACTCCTTCCCCAGGCTCCCCTCCTTCCTCCAAATCCTGCTCCTCCCCCTCCTCCTTCCTCAGGTGACATTTACGACCCAGTTGTCCCTGACTCCCCTGCTCACTCTGCCTCATCGCACCAGCACCAGCACCAGCAGCAGCAGCAGTAGCAGAAGGAGCAGCAGCAGCAGCAGAAGGAGCAGCAGGAGCAGCAGCAACAGCAGCAGCAGCAGGTGCAGCAGCAGCAGCGGATGGAGCAGCAGCAGCAGCAGGAGGTGCAGCAGCGGATGGAGCAGCAGTAGCAGCAGCAGCAGCAACCGCAGGCAGTGCAGCAACAGCAGCCGCAGCAGGAGGTGCAGCAGCAGCACCAGCAGTAGCCACAGCAGCAGCAGCAGCAGCAGCAGCAGCAGCCACTGCAGCAACCTCATCGGCATCGCCGCACCACCTCTCCGTTCATTCTCCCACGCATCCACACTCGCTCTCACGGCCCACTCATAGGCCATCCATGGGGTTGGCCAACACCACCCCCACCCTCCCTTCCCTTCATTGAGGACTCCCATGAGGAGCTCATTGGCGTTCAGCAACAAACACCTTCCCTCACGCCTCTCTACCTGGGCTTCCTTGGCCTCCTCATCCTTGGCATCGCTACCGCTCCCACCAGATTCACTCCGTCCAACTTCCTTGAGGCCATCACCTGCCCCGATGCTGCCAAGTGGATCCAGGCTATCTTTGCTGAATGCGAGGCCTTCATCCGCAATGCCTCATTCGTTAACATTGTCCCCTCTCCTGACGACGTCATTGTTGAAGGCCTCTGGGTGTTCCGAGTGAAGCAGCTGCCGGGTGAGGAGCCGGTCTACAAGGCCCGGTATTGTGCCAAGGGCTTCACCCAAACCCATGGCATCGACTACTGGGAGACATTCTCTCCCACTGCCAAGCTCCCAACTCTCCGTGCCATCCTCGACTATGCTGTTCGCATTGGCATGGAGATTGCCTCCATGGATGTCTCCAACGCCTTCCTGCAAGGCGAGCTCCAGGAGCGGGTCCTCTTGCGGCGGCCTCCAGGCTTTCATGCAGCCTTCCCTGCCAACACAGTCTGGGAGCTGCGCCGCCCGGTTTATGGCCTCAAGCAGGCTCCTCGCGAGTGGCACAACAAGCTGGCCGCCACTCTGCAGTCCTTGGGGTTCCATGCCTCTCAGTCTGATGCCAGCCTTTTCCTTCGCTCCTCTCCCACCCGCTTCTTCATCCTGGTGTATGTCGACAACATGATCCTGTTCGCTGACGATGCTGCCGCCATGCAGCAAGTGAAGGACGCCCTGCATGCACGCCTCAAGTGCAAGGACCTGGGTGAGCTCAAGCACTATCTGGGCATGACCATCACCCGGGACCGCACATCGCGCACCATTACCCTCTCTCAGTCCTTCTACATCGACCAAGTCTTGCAGCGGTTCGACATGGCGCAGGCCAAGCCGGTTACCACTCCCCTACAGACCGACCACCAGCTTGCCCCTCCTCCTGCTCCCTCCTCCTCTGACCATCCTTACGCTGAGCTCGTCGGCTCGCTGATGTACGCTATGATGTGCACCCGCCCCGACCTTGCCTACCCCATCAGTGTTCTTGCTCGATTCGTCGGTGCCGGTCGCCACACTGATGAGCACTGGGCTGCAGCGAAGCGGGTCCTCCGCTACCTCCGTGGTACCAAGGACTATGTCCTCACCCTCGGAGGCTCTTCTCCTCCCCTCCTCTCTGGCTTCAGTGACTCCTCCTGGGCCGACTCCCAGCCGGATCGCCGTTCCTCTCAAGGCTACGGCTTCACCCTTGGCAGCGGCCTCATCAGCTGGCGCTCCACTCGCTCCTCCTCCATCGCCCTCTCATCCTGCGAGGCTGAGCTCTATGCTTGCACCATGGCCGCTCAGGAGGCTCCCTGGCTCACCTTCCTCCTTGCTGAGATCGGTGCTCCTCAGCGCTGTCCCACCCTCTGGTGCGACAACACCAGCACCATCCATCTCACAAAGGACCCTGTCTTCCATGGCCGCTCTAAGCACATTGAACTCCGCTACTTCTTCGTTCGAGAGTTGGTCTAGCAAGGTCACTTGGTGGTCCGCAAGATCGCTGCAGAGGCCAACTTGGCCGACATCTTCACCAAGGCCCTCCCGAAGACCGCGCACTCTGCCCTCCTCCGCCTTCTCGGCCTTAAGCCTCGCCCCCCTTCCTGATTCTGGGGTTGTACCCTACATATACACTAGCTTTGCATGCTATGGGGTTGTGTTAGAATATACCATGCTATGCTAGTTGTGTATATTGTGTTTACATCCCTAGTTGGGTGTACACCTGTGTTGGGGTGTCAACCCAACCCAATTGTGGTTGGAGCCCCCAAACACAAGGACCACAATTGTGGGGGCACCACAAGTGGGTTGGCTAAACCACTGGTGGTACACCACACTTGGACCACCTCCAACTGGTGGTCAACCACATTTGGAAGGATCCTCCCTCCCTTGTGATTGGTCCTAACCCCCCCTTCCCTTCCAACCTTCCCTTCCTAGCTCATCTCTCTCTTCCTATGTAATGCCTTTGCTTCATCAATAAACTGAACCTTTCTGTTTTTAACACGCTCTATCTACAATCTGCAATTCAATGACTTCATTGATTACAAGTCATGGACAGCAAGGGCAAGAAAATCTCTACGGGCTCACCCAGCACCCAAGACACTCAACCCGGTAACTCTGGATTGCACACTTCAGGACTGCAAACCGAGACCGGCGCTGCTCAAGAAACAACAGGAAGAGCACCAGAAATGGTGACCCTTTCACCCTCTTCAAGCGTGGATCCGAACCTTATGGAAAGGTTCTTCAGCTTCATGTCGCACTTCGACCAGCAGTAGCAGACAAGGACACCTGCGCATTCAAGACAGAGCAACGGAGGAAACATGGGATTAGCGCCGATGAGCCTCGACAACTCGTCGTTCGGGCGACACAATCAAGCGCCTACCTTTGCGCCTTATCACTCTTCACCGGGGACATTCGAGTTCATGCCGCCCCGTGCCCAACCAACAGCAGCTGCATCACAACAGACACCAAACAAGATTTTGAGTCTCCAGGCGCAGTTTTCACACGTAATCAAGTTACAGACATCCTCACCGTTCAACGGACACGACTTCTTTACCTGGAGCTTTGAGTTCGAGCTGCTGATGAAGGCTGCGCATCTCTTGGGATACTTCAACGGGTCCCTGCCATTCCCAAGCAACGGCACTGGAAAGGAGCAAGAAATTTTCACGTATCACTCGCTGCTGGTGTATACAGTTCTCCTGCGGAACCTGTCACCACAAGAACAGCAGAGCATCAGAACGTATCGGAGCTATGGAAACTCTGCGGAACTCGCATGGCATCATCTCAAGTGTCTCTATCAAGCAAACGACAGCGTGACACAAAGCAGACTCATGCAACAGCTGACAACAATACAGATGAAGACCGAGGAAAAGGCAATGCAGTATATGAGTCAATGTCAGACCCTCCGCGACCGCCTGCTTCGGTGCGGAGGAACAATCACTGAAGAAAGCTTCGTGACTCTTGTCCTCGCCGGGCTCGGGCCAGAATGGAGAACCACACGCTCGCTTCTTCGTGCCCACGGAAGGATCTCGGAGATGCACCTCTGCGCCGAGCTTCATGCTGAACAACAGGAGATGGACCTGTTCGAAGAAAGACAACCAAGGAAGCAGCAGCAGTTAGTTTTCTACACTCAACGAAGGAACGACAACAACTACAATCGACGCGGCAAGCAAGATCAACGCGACAACAGAGGACTCACCATCGTGCCGCCGTTCTGCCACAACTGTCAAACATCCGGACATTCCAAAGTCAACTGCACACGTCCTCGTGTCTATCGTCTAGTAGACCCACAAGTCGCCTCCACTCAAGAAAGCCCTCCAAGACGTTCTTCCACATCTGCACAAGGGACACCGAACATCATCAACTGCATGGTACACATCAACAACTGCGCATCCGGATCACCACCCACTTACGCGCCAGACGAAGAAGAACTTCCGCCGCCGCGCTCACAAGGACTTCAGGTCAACCCGACATACGCTGCGGTCGCCAACGCCGAACCCACCAGGCGAAACACCTGGTTCTTGGACAGCTGCTGCGGTCAACACATGTGTTCTTCCGGACGCTTCGTGCAACGAGAGCGACGCCTCAACCGCGACGTCATCATCACCGTCGCCAACAACGAGAACCTGAAAACAAACAGACAAGGGGTGGTTGAGTTACAGTCCATGGAAACAAATGTCATCCTTCAACTCAACAAGGTCTTAATCGTTGACAACTTGGGATACAATCTGCTAAGCGTCAGCCAGCTAAGGGCAAAAGGAATTCACCTGGAGTGCGACTCGGACTCCAACGAGTTTCGCCTTTACCACGGGAAGGGCGGCCTCTTCATCGGTCGTGCCCTCCTGAAGTCAGGCGTCTTCGTGTTGGACTTCGTCCCCGACCGCGGTACTGCCGACAGTGATGGCATCGTGTCGTTCGCCGCCTGGACACACCCGCCGGATCTTGACCCCGACTTCAACCTCGACGGATTCTGGTACTCCAACACCATACCTGCAGCAGAGAGAACACGAGCCTTAGCAGTCATCAGACAAGAAAGACAAGTACCAGCAAGCATCTCTTCCCAGACATCACCTGCAGTAGCAGCAGCAGGACCCAGCCAAGTACCATCACCAGCGATCCGTGAACCGCCAACCGAAGCAGATCAACTTATGCCCATCACACGCGAAGTCTGCCGAAGTCCCGCCACGGTCGTCGCGTTCCTCTCCAACGCCGACATATACAACCGCTCGCCCGGCCATCGCGCTCCCGACGACATCTGGCACCAACGTCTCGGACATCCTGCAAACAGTACAATACTGCAAACCATCCAAGCCGAAGTGTTAGAACGAAACGCTCTTCTTACAACGAGCGGCCAAGAACTTCGACGACCACGCGCACGGTGCTTTACATGCCCTGAAGCCGATCTTCCCCACCAGCCTTTTCCATCCCATCACAACCCAAGCGCACCTGCATACGCACCGATGGAAAAAGTCTACAGCGACATTTTAAACATGCCTCGAGAAGACACTGAAGCCGACTTCAACTATGTCATCACGTTTATCGACGCAGCAACAAGATACGTCTGGCACTACAACCTCAAGACGCGCGATCAAGCCTTCGACGCCTTCACGACATAGCTCCCCATCGCCGAACGAGAATCAGGAACCAAGCTCAAGAGCTTCCAGTCAGACGGTGCACTGGAATACCAGTCACAACGCTTCAGGACCTATCTGGCGGAAAGAGGAATCAGACGCCTGGTGTCTCTGCCCTACGCTCACCAGCAGCAGGGGGTCGCAGAACGCATGAACCGGACCTTGCAGACGACGATGTGAAAGCTGCTCTTGGGGATGAGACTGCCCACCACACTGTGGCCAGACGCGATGACACATGCAGTCCACCTGCACAATCTGTTGTCCTCGTCATCGCTTCCCAACAACGCATCACCGCACCTGCTGTGGACACGAAAAAGGGGCAGCACAAAATTACTTCAAGTTTTCGGCTGCATGGTACAGTACAGACCCCACACAGCCCGAGTAGGACGCTTCACTCAACGAGCTCGGTGGGGACTACAGCTCGGCATCGCCAAACATTTTCACGCATGGAAGATCCTCGACATACAAGACAAAAATACGGTGGCATCACGTGATGTTATCTTCTATGAGCGACTGACGCTGCAGCATTACCTGGACAACATTGCCAACACACACGACCCCACCGATGGCCTCGCGGGCCTTCGTTCCTTCGCCGACCGTGCTGCCGAGGCTGACGCAGCAGAAGAAGACGTACCTGGAGCCTCAGAAGCTGCCGGACCACTCCCTTTCTGTTCCGTACCTGTTCCACTCGATGAAGACAATCCTCTCGATAGCAACAACCTCGACACCTTTTACCACTTCGTTGACCAAGGTTACGTTACACCCCACCCCGTCGACACGAATGTTTCAGAACGCATCGGCCCAAACTTCTTACCTGATCCAGAAGATGGTGACGAAGCAGCTTATTCCGGGAATGAAAATTCCCCTCGACACACACCCACGGGACAGCAGATCCTCGGCCTATGGGTCTCCGTCCAGCACCCGCCGCCGCCATCTCCGCGCGAGCCCTCGACCCTGTCGCAGGCTCTGGGGGGGGAACATAAGGCGAAATGGAAGGAGGCGATGGAAAAGGAACAAAAAGCTCTTCAAGACCGAAATACATGGAAGTTGGTACCTACAACGAACATCAACGGGAAGAACGTCCTCTCGGGAAAGTAGGTGTACCGCATCAAGACCAACGCAGACGGCTCCATCGAACGATTCAAAGCTCGATGGGTCGTACAAGGCTTCGATCAACGATACGGAACCGACTACACAGAAACCTCTGCCCCAGTCTCCCGTCACACCTCCCTGCGCATCCTACTCGCCGTCGCGGCCACGAAGAAACTACCACTGCGCCAAATTGACGTCGCAAATGCTTTCCTGTACGCACCTGTGGACGCCGAGATCTTCGTTGAGCAGCCCCACGGATTCATCGACGACCCTACAAAAGTATGCCAGCTGATAAAATCCCTTTACGGGATCAAGCAAGCCCCGCGGCTCTGGCAGCAGCATCTTCACGGTCGCCTCGTAAAAATCGGATTCCTACAGCTGCCGCGTGACCAAGGCATGTACCGACTGCAAAAGGGAAGAGAGTATATCCTACTCATCGTTTAGGTCGACGACCTGCTCTACATCGGTTCCACTACCGACATCGCCACCTGGTTCGAAGGGGAGCTGAAAGGGGACTTGACACTCACGGTGTCCGACACAGTGACCCAGTACCTGGGACTGAATGTCGTCGAAGACAACTCGGCGTTCTACCTACACGCTGGAAAATACGCAGGCACTGTCGCGAAGAAATTCGGTCTAACGCCGACTACGGTCCCGACTCCCTACCGCTATGGGAACAACAGCAACACCTCCGCAAAACTCCCCGCGAAGCAAATCTAGGAGTATCAGCAGAAGCTCGGCTGCCTACTATTCGCAGCAGTAACCTGCCGACCCGATCTATCTTACAGCGCGAGCCAACTGGCGACGCATCTGAAGCAGCCGGAACAAGAAGATCTCGAGGAACTTAATCAGGCACTACTCTACTTCGTCTCCACGCCGACGACCAGGCTTACCTACAGTAAAGTAACGACATCGTCCGTACAACTACTCGGATACGTCGACACCGACCACGCGGAAGACAAGGGAAATCGATGATCGAGAACGGGCTACATCTACCGACTAGAACCTATCGGGATATCTCCAGGCAGTCGAGCAAGCAGGAACTAATCGCACTATCTTCGGCTGAAGCAGAGTATATCGCCCTCTGTACTGCGACCAAGGAAGGACTCTACCTACGAGAGTTGCTCGAGGAAGCGAAGATTGCAACCCTGCCTGTCTTCTCACTCCTCTGCGACAACCAATCTGCGATCAAAATCGCGAACAAGGATGGCTTCGCCAACCGAACCAAGCACATCGCCCTGCGATACTTCTTCGTCAAGGATGAAATCGCGAAGGGGAGACTCCAACTCAGTTACTGCCCGACGACGCAAATGGCCGCAGACTATCTGACGAAGAAATTGGCGAAGGCAAAATTCGATTACTGCACGCTGCTGACCGGGCAGACAAACGTCATCGGATCTGAACACGTCAGCACTCCAGAAACGAAGGGGAGTGTTGGAAATATCTCAAAGGACTTAAGCGTTTCTGAAGTATAACACTACACTCAAGGAAGATCGCAACGGGTACGCGAGTCAACGGAGGTTACACAAGGGGATGGACAAAGAACGCGAAGGTACTCGAAGGGTCGCAACTGGAGGTTGCGACTGACCGTTACAACAGCGCGGATG